TCTAGCTTTATCACCGCCGGAGGTGAAAATTTTGGAAAATTCATTACTATATTAAAATATTTAGTCATTTATCAATCCTAAAATATTAAATAAAAATAAATTTAAAAATCTAAAATGAAAATCAAAGTTTAAAAACATTTATTTTTGAAAAGAAAAACTTTTTCAGGGTCATTTCCAGCCCTTGACTCGAACCCACTCCGATGAAAATATCGAGCCCGTCGCATTACCCATTCAACCACCGATCACATGATGAGAAAAGGAAGAAATTATAAATATTTCTTTCCCTTTTCCTACTTTCTCTATAATTTTTTAAATTTATTTTTAAAAATCGGGTAGAGCTAGGTTTTCGGGTAGAAATTTCGGGTTTTAACCAATTTCGGGTCACGGGTTTCGGGTCGGAAAAAATATCTGGTACGGGTTTCGGGTTGGAAAATTTTCCTTTCGGGTTTCGGGTACAAAAAAAGGCCGGGTTTCGAGTATCGGGTTTCGGGCGGCAACCCTGCTGGGTATTCATGATCACAGGAATATACTATATAGAGTGGAGAATTTTTGTATATTTTAACTTTATTGTTTTTAGAAACATTCGCCATTCTGGAATCATTTTAATGATATTGGCGGAAATAAAGTAGAATGCAAATACTGCTCCAAACAATTCAGTTTAAATCGTGCGTGGGATCATACTAAAAATTCACATAATGAAATTTACCAACAAGATGTATATTTTTGTATATTTTTATATTATATAGTAAAGCAGCTGGGCTATAGCTATTTCTCTCCTTTAGCTAGTGCAAAAGGTTATTCGGCGGCTGGGAGCGAACCAGCATCTTCAGTAGACCGACCTGATGTGTTAGCCATTACATCACGCCGCCTACTGCATAGCCTTAGGAAATAGATAGCTATATGCTTTACAATATTTTAGAATAACTAATCTCATTTAATACCAGTCAAATAAATAGCTTTATATTTATTATTAAAATTTATTTCAGAGGCAAGCTGTACTGGAACATTTTATCAAAATAGATAAAGGACGACATGGGGGAAAATTAAAATGTAATTATTGCAATCGTAGATTAAACGACAATATGTCTGGATTAACAATGCATTGTTTAACACACGGAATTAATTTTGCCAATCCTGAACAAAAAAATACAGAAATAAGTGTGAGTAAATTAAAACTAATTTACAAAATGTTATGAGCGTATTGTAAAGGTTCGGCGTTAAGTGAAAGCCGAACCTTTTTTCAAGGTGAAGGTGTTGTGTATGGGTGAGTCCTTAAACGGTTTAGCCAGACATTAAGTAGTTAGTAAAAAATTTTGAAATTTTATTGAAAATATTGATATGTATTTACCATAAATTTATAATAGGAAGATATGTCAAAAGAGGAGATGTATAAAGAACTTTTTGGTGAAGATTACAATGAAGGTATGTTTGTATAATTATAATAAGAGATCGGACTCGAAGTATCTCAAATCCCCTAAAAGCATCTCAATTCCCACAAACTTTTCACGATATTTTTAAAAAATATTTAATTTATCATCAGAAATAATGCCCCCTATGCTAGGTTATTTTTATTATTTATTCAAATTACTTCCGCCAACCTAATGATGCTAACCAGCCTACAGCGGACCTAAACGAACAAATCAGCAAATCATGGTTTCAGGAAAAACCAAGAGTCTCTCTCTCTAATTCAAATTATATACTTATTTTAAAAAGATGTTGTGCCTGCATCACAGGACTATGGGCATCATGATCAATTTTTGACCGATGGTAATAAAATAATTCACGAAAAATAAAAGTTTATAATATAAATTAACAGCTGAATATGAACAACAAACTCAAAAGGCTATTGAACTGTCTGGTCGTGAAATGTTTCGGGGTCGAGGAGGTCCATTAATACGAGGTATAAAAAGTGAATAAATTTGTGTTTAAAAGCAAATTATTAATTATATACTATTTATCAATAAATATTTTAGATCGAGGAGAACAATCTAAAAAGGGAAAAGAGAAAGTAATTGAAGCTTCAAGCGATTCTAATTGAAGATTATTAGTCTTTAAATGGAAGACAAAGGATTTTATATGAGTTTAAATTTTTAGGTATTTAACAAGAAAGGGGGATTATAAGGCGAAATCACACTTGCAGCAGACATTTCCTGCCCATTCTAGCTTAAAGGTGTACAGAGCGTCTTTGAGAGAACAAACCAATTATCCGTACTGTGATAAATATTTCATAAAATATCAGAAACTAAATTCTTAAATATTTACTATAGTCACGGATGTATTGAAATCTCAAAATCATTTGAAAAACACGGAGCCGGAACAGGAACTGGATCCAATTTCAGTTCGGTTCCCGGAACCGGAACCAAAAAAACACCGGAACTTTCCGGAACCGGAACTTCCGGTGAAACTCTAATACTTATGTCGTTTCTGGCATTTGACTGGTTTTTGTAGGGTTGACATTTCATTGGCTACGCATTATAATTTAACACACTTTAGCCTGAGTTGGAAATATCGGGCTGCATGTAGTGTTTGAAACTCGTACCAAAATTCGTATTTGTACTTGTATACGAAGTAGAGTTGGAAAAAACGATACTGATATCGGCTAACCCGAGACCGAGATTGACCGATACTCAAGAACCCGATACCGAGACCGATACCATCATTTTGAGCCGAGACCGAGAAACGATACTGATCGAGACAGAAATTTTTATTTTATGTCAAAAAATAAGTGTAAAAATAATTTATTCATTTCATCATCCAAATCATCTCGTTTTTCCAACTCTAATACGAAGTATGAGTATGAGCAATATATAAATTTTAAAACATTGTCTGCAAGCCTTTTTAAATGGGTAGTTAAAAATGAACATTCAATTTATAGTTTTTATATTTAAATTTGGGATTTTAAGCATAAATATATTTTTTAAATTTGGTTAGTATGTTTTTATAAATGTACTTTTGTTAATATAATTAATTGAATATTAAAATTTTTATAAAAATGTTAATGAAGGCAAAGATATTGACGACTTTTGTTAATTTTTAGCCGTTTACCCCTTTATTTTTTGTCGTCTACTCTTTAATTTCAAACCTAGTTTCGCATTTTGTTTAGGAAAACCGGGCGTTATTATTGGCCAAACTTATTTTGTGTGTTCTTCCATTTTTTTAAATTAAACCAAATTCGTATCCTCATTTTTGTGTGTTCGTTCCAGCCACCCTTTTTCTCTAACTTGTTTTTCTTTTGTTTTTTGGATTTAGCTCGCTCCGCTAATTTTTTAAATCTTTGTATTTCTCTAATTTCGTTCCTTATTTTTTTGTCGGGACCAGTCCCTTCTGCTTCCATTAGTTAGAAACAAATTTATTTTAAAAAATAACAAAATATTTAAACGTAAATTATTTTTAAAGAATTTATTATTTTGCTTATCGCCCGCACAAAAAATCATTGTTTGGGAAAAATTTATATTTTTTAAAGGAAAAAATTTATTTTTTCCACTTAATTTTATTTTACACGGTCCCGACCCCTCCATTTTATAAGCCCAGTTTTTTAGCTGAATTTTGAGTCAGTTTCGAAAATTGTATTTTAAATTTAATGAAAAAATAAATATTTTCGAAAAATTCTTTTAATTATTTTTTTGGAAATTATTATTAGGAAAATTTGTATTGGAAAAATTCTTTAAAAGAAGAAATTTTTTATTTGGAAAAAATTAATAAATTTTAATTTGAATATTTTGCTGTGCTCTACATTATCAAATATTTGATTTTTGATTGGCCTCATGCCAAACCCCGCCGTTATTTTTGTCTATATAAGTGGTAGGTCTGCCCCACAAATTCTTCATTCTACCTCCACCATTTCATCTTCGAAACAACGCTTTTGTGGCTGATTCACTGATGTTGGCCCTTGCTGGCTCCTCATTAAAATTGTTTATTTCGGTGTGTGGAAAAATAAATTTTTGGATTGTGTTATTGTTTTGGTTGTTAATATGAACCGTTTCAAAATTCACTACTGCTCTTCTTTTTGACTGTGCAGGGCTGATCGAAATTTCGTTTCGATTAAAAGCCTTTAAGTAGTTAACCCAATGGTACTTCGCACTAAACAAACAAACATTAATTCCTTTAACATGTTTTTGCGGCAACATCAATTTTTCTCGAGATATACTGCTTTAATTAAATTTTATGTAAATGTATATAAACTTTTGCACCACAGTGTATTCCAGAACTAAATTACATTTACATATTTTATGTTAAAAGTTAGTATGTATGTCCGTGTCGAGCGCGTTCGAGTACCCGACAAGACGTACTCTAGTAAAAAGTATATCTTTCTTACATTTTTTCTGTATATTTTTATAAATCATAGAGAAAAACAAATAAATATAGGTTATAAGGTTGGTGGTCCCGGTTATCCGGAAAAAAAGAAAGACAGTATAACCGAAATTTCCGGTTTGGTTATCGGTTCCGGATAACCGAAGGTTTCCTAGGAACCACCAACCTTAGTAGATAATATGTAAATAATATTTTGTGTAATAATAAATGAAGAATACATACAGTATTTACTCAAATAATTCCCCGGGTAATTATTGTTTCGATCTTTTGCTTGAGAGGATAATCGAAATAGATGGGGTAATTATTAGAACGAGGGGAATTCTTATTTCGGCTCGTATATTTTTATTTTATCATAAACATGTGAATAGAAAGATAGATATAATATGTTGCAACTGGCCCGATATCTCCCTCAAAAATTCTTAATCTCTACCAAACCCTCCTAATGCACCTCGATATATATTAATCCACACAAATCCCCGATAAACTAAATATTACTTTTAACTCACGATTTTTTATATTGATTCTTAAAATGTTCATTAAATTGTAATGATTGTTTGAAAAATTAGTTTAGAAAAAATAGGGGGTAATTATTTTAGGGAGAGTAATTATTGTTTCGATCTATGGTTGGAGGGGCAATTAATATTGGTGAGGTAATTATTTGAGTAAATACGGTATATCACAATTATCAATTAAATCAACGTCCATTTAGTAACCTCCTCTCTATTTAAATATTTTACATAAAATCCTAGGTCAGCTTTTATTTTTTCTTGTTTTTCTCTTATAAATTTAAAACCATGTGCATCCTTTATATAAGGCTTGTAAGATTCCATAATTTTTTCTTTAAATTCGACAAGAATATTTTTACCCTCAGCATTATTTATTTTGTCAAGATCTTTTATCTGTAATAATTAAAAATGGATAAAGTAAAGCAAAATCTCCTAAGCGGGAAAAATATTCAATATATTCCTACAAACATTTTTCCATATTATCCTGGGAGAAAACAAATATTTATCTGCAGAACTTAAAATATCTCATCCCAATATTAATTTAAAATTTAATGTTATAAAGAAGAGAAAGATCCAGCTGGCAGCATTTAAAACGCTTACTAGGCGGAGGTTTAAGATCTATTAAAAGAGAAGGTGAACTGGTAAATACCTCAGTTGGTAGAGCACCTGTACGTGGTAAGCGCCTAGCAATAACTGCCAGGAGGTCGCAGGATCGAAGTCTGCTCGGGATTTAACTTTTACCTCGCTCTTACTATGTTGTTTTTGGATTTGGACTACATAGGTAATGTTATACATAATAGATTATGATATACAGTGACGGAAAAAAGGATAGAGCCAATACTGTTAATAAGGATAAAGCCATAGGCTTCTCATCTCGAAGGTTCAAAACAACGGTGGGGTATGATTCCGTGCACACGATTCCGTGCACACGTTTCCGTGCACACGATTCCGTGCAGGCACGTTTCCGTGCACACGTTTCCGTGCACACGTTTCCGTGCACACGTTTCCGTGCCCGTTATAAAAAACACGTTTCCGTGCTCAATTTCTTTTTAATATAATAAACAATAAGAAAAGGTTTTGAGGAGTACAGTGAATATCAAGGGACTTGTGCATGACATCGAGACATCAACAAGGGGATATTGGTGGATATGGAGGAAAAAATCTCAAAAAAATTTTTTTTAATTGTAAAAAAATTAGAAGAACCCTGCTTCTAACCTATGACCAATAGAATCTTCGATGGAAAAACTGTTTTTGTGCTGCTACGGAGGGTAGGCCGGGCATGGTCTTCGCTACACGATGGCCGTGCTTCGCTGCGGTCGTGCTCGCTACGCTCGCGGCGACCGTAGCGAAGCGGCGGCCGTCGTTCCGCTCGACATGCCCGGCTTCCTCCGCAGCGGCAAAAACTTTTTTCCGCGTAAATTTTTTGAATTGAAAAGAAAAATACTGAAGCAAAGTTGATAAGTTGATAAAAAATATAACTTTTAAAATTTTTTTATAAAAATTTAAAAAAAATAAAAATATTTAAATAATTGGGCACGGAAACGTGTTTTTTATAACGGACACGGAAACGTGTGCACGGAATCGTGCCCGCACGGAAACGTGCCTGCACGGAAACGTGTGCACGGAATCGTGTGCACGGAAACGTGTGCACGGAATCGTGCGCACGGAATCGTGTCTAACCGTCAAAACAAAAATTGTACTAGATCTTTATGTGCTCTTTAAAATGAGTATAAAGTCCTTACTCGGCTTTCCCCATCTGTTTCTTCATATTCAATTCCCACTAACCAAATTATACACAACCATCCTTTTTTCTTAAATTCTTGAGGGCATTCTTGCATTTCTTTAATGGGTTTTTGTAAATTTGCATGACAGATAGCTCCAGTTTCTGTTTCTATTGTAAAAAGTAATTGGAGACGGATTCTTGTAGTTGAAAAATCACAAAAATCCTCTCCATATAGATTTGAAGAGGAGTAGGTGCAGACAAGAGCGAGATAGTTGTGATACTATAATAATGCTTATATTATATGTAGTAGATAGAGGAGCCGGCTGCTCAGAAGCCGGCTGAGCCGTAGCCAAGAATTTGAAATGCCCGGAGCCGGGGACAACAAATGCCAAATACCCACCCCTGCCAGCATCTTTAGTTAACTGGAATGAATTCGTTAATTCCGCATCATTGGAATTAAATAGCCATATGTATGCCTTAGATTATAACAAATGACTTACTTTTTTCGAAAAATCATGCGTAATATTTAGCAAATCTTCCCATTGCCTTTTTAAATATGTATCTAATTCAACTTTATTTTTTGACTTTCTTTGATTTGCCTTACTCACTGCTCCTCTCATGTTCAGCAAAAGCTGTTTAGCTAAAGTTTATTATATTATTTCTATTTAAAACCATCATCCATTATCTCAAGGCAGGTCAAATATAGACCTGAGAAGCATAAACAAACAGACAAACGAGAATCGAGCTCGGTGTCTCGAGGTTTAGTCTCGGCCTATCTCTACTCTATCTCTACGTCCTCCTCACCCGGGTTACCACTTAAAAATCACCACCATCACACTAAATCTATAGATTGACAAACCATTATTCATTTCCTTCCAAATAATAGTCCTCGTAGAAAGATTAACGTTAAATCCAGCATTTTGTTTAGGAAAGCCGGGCGTTATTATTGGCCAAACTAATTTTGCGTGTTTTTTCATTTTTTCTAATTTTTGATTATTCAGAATCTCAAGATTTAAATAAAGATTTGTTCGATCGTTAATTTCTTTCTTAATATTCCAATCTAAATTAATATCGTAATTTTTTGTATTTTCTTCGAGAATAATCGGTTCCGGTTCTTCAGCATTTTCTTGTCCGATTACCCTGATTTTTTGATAATTTTGAGAATAAGAATCAAAAAATTTTGTTAATAATTGGTAAATTGTTGAAGTTTTAGATTGATTCTCAGTTAATAGATGAGTTACTAAAACTGTTAATGAAATGCCACTGAAGAATCCAAGTTTGCCGTTATAAATATAATGATCTGAATAAATATTTGACATATCAAAAATTATAAATTTAACCACCCCTCCCCTCCCCAATAAGCTATTGCTTTATCATAAGCTAAAGAAAGAGTTTGCAAAAGTTTAGCCACCGGGCAGGATTGAACCTGCGATCACCTGCTAGTTGTTGCTAGGCTTTACCATTGAGCTACCGGGGCATGACTAATGCTTTCTCTTTTTCCTTTTTAGATCGTTTAACCCCCGCCTAAGCGTTTTAAATGCTGCTAGGTGAATCATCCTTACACTAATAAGCTATTGCTTTATCATAATTAGAGTAAATTGGCTCAATTAGATAGGACTGATCTTGAGAGCTCTCCTATTCAACCCCGGCTGATCACTCCTCTGATTGATCACTCTCCCGGACAATTTGTGGTGAATTACCCTATATGGTAATTGATTAATAAACTTACTTTTAGCCCACAGCTTTAATGTAAACAATAAAATTTGAAATTTTTCCTTACTTCCAGCAATAAGATAATTAATTTGCAGACTAGCTCGGTAACCTGTTATTGGAGTTCGGATTTTTATGCAAATATTTATTTTGGTTCCATTAAAGCGAATTTTAAATGAATGAGAGATCCATGAGCTGAAAGAATGTCCGTGAGCTTAAAAATTAGGTCTGGGCCCATAGAGTTGTAAATAAAGTCATGAGCTTTAATGTATAATGCATGCTTTGAAGTTTTCTGGGGAACTAAAATTCAGTTAAATTTTTGATTAAAAAAATGGAGAAACTTTGAAAAATAGGAAAAGTTTTAATCAAAATTCCAAAATTTAGGCATCTTTTGGGCATAGTATTGTGCCATTTTTCCATTTATATTGCATAAAAATCCGGGCTCTCTATATTTTATTAAAAATGTATAAATAAAATAAAGTTTTGAATTAATTCAACAAAAATTCATTACCAGACAAAGAATTAAGCATTCCTAATATATTAGAGCTTAAATGACTGCCATGTCTTTGAACAAAATTAAAAATAAATTTATCAACTTCTTGCACAGATTTTAAACTTTCTTCACTTTCCAAAATTTGTGTAGAATTGCTTTCTAAAGGATAGGCAACAAAAGCCAAATCAAAAGAATGTCCATAAATTTTTGCGTTTATTTCAGCTACACCAGTTCTAGTTCTTCTTAGCCATGTTGTAGCTTCATTCTTTTTATTTATAAATAAGTCAAATAATTTTTAACTTGGTAAAATTTCATTGGTACTAATGTTGAATCCCCCTATAATATCCCCCTTTATTCTCAATTTCACTCTATTTGAATAGAGATCGGGAAATGAAGTGTTTTTGGATTATAGGCGATCTTACGGGCAAAATTCTGTCATTTTAACGTCCCTAATCTTCCAAAGGCGATCTTCGACTCGTTATTTTGACTTCGGTATTAAAAAAATTTACCTTGCATAGAGTGCAATAAAACGAGTCTAGTTTATTTTTACTACATTCCTTTCTTTGTTCAAAATTACATTCAGATTGAATACCCATAAAATTTAACCAAAGTAAGCTAGTTGCATAATTCTCTACAGGGCCTTCATAATTAAAATACAAAATAACAATAAAATCGGTGTCAGATTCTTTAGAGTTTATTTCCAATAGATAGGAGCCAGAAATTAATGTAAATGCTTGATTATCCTAGAAAATATTTTAATAATTATAGTGAGTTTTAACAAGTTCAAAAATTTAGAATATTCAAATTAAGAACTGAGCTCCTGAGTGCCAACCAAATTTTCACATTTATTGGGTTATAACTGAGTGATCAGAATTGATCCATTAAGTTGGAAAAATTCCTCTTGTCGAGGGCTTTCGAACGATATAAGAATTATTTTAATTGGATTAAGCATCAAAAAGTTAAAGCCGATCTAATTTGGCTGGCACTCAGTTTGTGTAATTATTTAATGTAAATGAGTGATTATCCTAGAAAATATTCTGGACATTCTGGAGCAGATCCAATAAAACCCATTACATGTTCCCTCCCCATGTCGCTTACTAAGAGACCTAAACAGTTGTTGCCTCGATGAGGCCTCGTGAGGCGTTTGAAATAGTAATAAGAGCTCTAGCAGACTTATCTAATAAATGTATATGTATAACAAAAAATAAATTTTTAAAGGAATTTTTAGCCTTTATGAAATAAAATCAAAAATTCTGTAAATTCCCAACAAACATACTTTTGAGAATTGTTTTGTTATAGGATCAAAAATTTTGCCTCCCCAATCTCTAACCATTTTCTTTACTTCATTAATTGCATCTTCTAAACTAATAGTCTTGTCAATACTATTAATTTTTGTTAAATTATTCCAATAGCCTTTATCAGTTAATATTTGTATAAGCTTTAAATAATATTAAATTAAATTTATATGTATTATTCGAAAATAATTTGGAAAAATGCTTAGGTGGATGTGGAATTAATCCTTGAATTGATTTGTGGAACAAAATCTGTTGGCCAAGGTCCGAAACTAAATATTGTTGCAAAACCAGTTATAAATAAAAATTGGAGGTACAAGTTGGAAGCTATGGGTTAGGTTAACTTTAGTTCGTTAACTTCCAAGCTGCACTAATTCTACCTCTTTATTATCTTCAGGACTTTCATTTCCTTGTTTAATTGAATAATCCTCTTCTTCAATATCTAAATGTTCATGCTCAGTTAAATTTTGTTTAGATTTACTACTTTTATCTTTAGATTTTTTTATATTTCTTCTTGCTTTTCGCTCCGATTTTGTTCTAAAAATGATATATATTATATACAGAGACATACTGGAAGATCATACGAGAATCGAGGGCTCGAAAAATTCTCAATCTCGATATCCGAGATTTTTGATTGAGATCTCGTATCGATCCGATCTCCAGTATATACTACTTTTATGATTAATGAAACTAACAATTTTTTCGTTTCAATTTTTAAAGATTTTTTTGTTGTATCTCCTGCCATTGATTCTTCAGTTATTGTTGTTTCACTTGATGATTCAGGTGGGGTTTCTTCGGCCGGTTGAGTTTGTGGCAAGTGATCAGTTGATGATTCTTCTAATTTATCAGCTGTTGTAACTATTATATTTGACGTTTCTTCTAATATATTAATATTATAGGTTAAAATACAAAGTTACAGGGAAAAATAAAATTAAATAAAAACAGAATCAAATTTTAAATTAATTCGAAATCTGCTTTAAGACCTTACAGTTTAGCTATCAACTCTAAATCTTATATATAAGCAACTGTAAGTCTTAGAGAGACCTACACTAAGTCTTATAATTTCCAAATCATGCAAATGCTCTTATTCTGAAATGTATACTCCTTTAACTAGTAGAACAAGCGTTTTTGTTAGATTTATGAGACTTTTGACTAGAGTTGTCGGATTAGACCGAAATGAAGAACTGAGGAATTTTCAGTTCGGTTCTGGGTATCCGAAGAGTTTTAAATAACCGACAACCCATTTATGACATTTTTAAATTAAAATAAATTTAATTTAACTACTCTAACCATTCTCTTCTAGTAAACCAACGCCTCCCTTCACAATATCTTCTTTAATTTCTTCCTCATTCTTGCCATCTTTATCAACACCTTTATTTGAATCCTCTAATGCCAAAGTCTTTTTAATCTGTTTTCGTTTTTTCTTTGACAATTTTGTTCTAGTCCCAGATGATGACGGGGTCTCTTCTAATGGGTGTTCTGATGGTTTTTCTTTATAAAAATTTAAATATTTTAAAAAATATTGGGAAGTTAAAATATCACTCCTAATACATTGGGTTAATCATCCAAATTAAATATAACTAATCTTTAATATTTTTTCACCAAAGAGTCACCAATGTTTTCACCAAAAATTTCAAAGGAAAAAAATATTTTGCAAAATTTTTCAAGCATTTCCTAATATGATTTCATTACACTATGTTATAGGCATGTGGAGGGTGTTTTTTGAAAAAATTCGATAAAAATTTTTGAATAAATTTTTTTACGATTTTTTGTGTTTTTGTTATCTGCTTTAATTAATAAAAATCAGCCCGATTGAATTGGTAAAAGTTAAGAAATTCGTAAATTTAGAGTGAGGTTATAGTGTATAGAAGACGAAAGTTTCCCTAAAAATTGGCTTTTATCTTTCAGGTAATCCAGAAACAATCGTTCCATAACGATTCGGTGTCGGAGCTCAACATTAAGGAATATTAATATAATTTTATTAAATTTCACCGTTAATATCCATTTTAATTTTATTTGTTTCCCCAGTTTCCTCAGAAGAATTACTTTCAGAACTACTTTCTTCATTAAATTCTAGTATATCCAAATTCCCATATTCGGAAGCTTTGAATGTTATCTTCAATAACTCGAATAATTTAGAAGTATTAACTGGGCCAATTAATGAATAGAGACGTCGACGAGATAGAAGATAATCTCTGAGGCCTTTAAATATAAAATTTGTTTGAAGAAATTACAATTTTAAATGCCATAATTTGAGACCGGATATTTATGCATTAAAAAATGCAAAATATGCACTGTAATATGCATAAAAAATTGACAAAACATGCACAAAAATATGCAAATATTTTTATACAAATATTTTAATACAATATATTTTAATACACATAATACAAATATTCACGAAATTATGCAGCAAAAACACAATTTTTACCTAGAATTTTTAATTTTTTTGAATCAAAAACATTAAAACACCTAGATTACTCTCATTTTAAATGTATAGTCCAACAAATCGAGTATTTTTAATCTATTGGACATTTTGAGATGAGACGTTTTGGTGCTGGGACATTTTGGGATAGGACGTTTTGGGCGATGACATTATGGGTATGGGACATTTTAGGGTCCCGCCCAAAAACAAAAAATTTTTTTACAAAATTTGTAATTTTTACAAATTTTTTCCTAAATTTTTACTAAATTTTCAATTTTTGACAGGATTTTGGGCAATTTTCGAGTTATTTTCCCCAAAAACCTCAAAATATGCATTAAAATATGCCTTATACAGCAAAGTCCTGAATGTGCAAAAATATGCATTATATGCAAATAGAAACCCCCTCTAGAGTTTTCAAAACATGCGGAAACAGTGTTTTTTGTGCATTATACATGATGCCAAATTTGCAAAAAAAAATATGCATTTGCATAAAAATCCGGTCTCTAGCCAAAATATGTATTGTAAAGCATACATATATATTTAATTCTTAAATTATG